TATCGATGCTGGGACTCAGATAACCACCCAGGGAGGTGGTAATAGTATTTTAGAAGAGAATGTCACAATAAAAGCAACATTTGCAGAAATGCTAAAAAAAAAAACTCTGAAGTAATGTCTGCAGTGATGGAGGTAGCCATGAAAGCAGCCACCTCACAAGAAGCAGCACGCTCCACTAGCCAGCTGCTGGAAAGGAAAAAAGATAGCTGTGGGTATTAAAGAGTAGGAAGGCTCTAATAGGAAAGAGTGGAATGATAAGGACAAAGCAGCAGTGAATGAAATACTGAAGGCACTAGACATGGAAGGGGCTGAGCATAGCATTGAGAAGGTTTTCAGGCTAGGCTGGTACAAAAAAGACCGAGACCGTGTGTTAAAGATAGTGTTTGCAAACGAGAACACAAAGGAGATGATTCTAACAAAGAAAAGCCATCTGCAACATGTGGGAGAATTAAAAAAAGTATTCCTCCAGAAGGATATGATGAGGGAGGAGAGGGCCATGGCGGCAGAAGCAAGGAAGAAGCGCAGGGCGAGGGGAAAACCAGGAAATCACAGCTTCCAACACATCACCCCCAGAGGCGAGGGGGTAACCCACAGCTAGCTACCCAGTAACACCAGCGGGGAGGGCAACCCCACCACCCTCCTCTGCATAGAAAACCCCCCTACCCCAAACCCTTGCTGCCCCTACTCAAATACCCAGCCAAATCTTCCTCCACTCACACCCAATCCCCACCCTTCAACCCCTCCCCTCCTCCCGCCGAGTCCCCCCCCCCCTCCCCCCCTTTCCTTCCAGTCCTCCCTCCCCTTTCACCCTATACCCTCCCCCTTCACTTGACCCACCCCTCATCCCAGTATCCTCTGCATCCCTGTTATCCATCTCACAAATCCTCACACCAATGGAACAGCTTCCCCCAACAGCAGAACACTCACCAAGGAGGAGATTTGAGAAGGGACAGAAGAAAGTGAGCCTCAAGGCAATGTACACTAACATAGATGGAATTACAAATAAAGCAAATGAACTTGATGAATGGGTACTAGAGGAAAACCCAGACATAATAGCTATCACAGAAACAAAGCTAACGAAAACCATAACAAATGCAGTGTTCCCACAGGACTATTATGTTATGAGGAAAGAAAAAGAAGGAAGAGGGGGTGGTGGTGAAGCCCTGCTGGTAAGAAAAGGCTGAGATTTTGAGGAGATGGTTGTTCAGGGATGTTAAGGTTTCAGTGACTACATAACAGGTACAATAACAGCTGGAGGGCAAAAAATTATAGTCGTAGTCATGTATAATGCACAACCAAATGACAGAAGACTCAGACAGGAATATGATAGAAACAACATGGCCACCATTAACAGAATAGAGAGAGCAGCTTCTGTTGCTAGCAGGAATGGATCTCAATCATGAGAGACTTCAACCATGAGAAAAAAGATTGGGAGAACAGAGACCCGCATGGAGGACCAGAAACATGGAGAGCTAAGCTGCTGGACGTGGCAACAAGAAACTTTCTAAGCCAGCACATCAAGGAACCAACAAGAATGAGAGAAGATGAACCAGCAATGCTTGATTTGATATTTACCCTAAAGGAGTGGGATATAAGGGAAGTTAAGATGGAAGTACCCTTGGGAATACGTGATCACAGTGTATTGAACTTTGAGTACTTGGTAGAGCTAGGAATTATCTCTCCCAAAAAAGAACTAGGAAACAAAAGGCTGGCATACCGAAAGGGAAATTATGAGGAGATTAGAAGCTTCCTAAGGAAATTACCTTGGGACACAGACCTCAGAGCTAAGACTGTACAAGATATCATAGACTGTGTCACCCAAAAGTGTCAGGAGGCAGTAAACAGGTTTATCCTGGCCCAAAGGGAAAAATCCGAGAAGCAAAAGAAGAATCCATGGTATAATAGGGCATGTATCGAAGCAAAGAAACTGAACAAAAGGGCGTGGAGGAACTTCCTAAATAACAGAACACCAGAAAGCAGAGAGAGATACCAGAGAACCAGGAATGAGTATGTCAGGGTGAGAAGAGAAGCAGACAAAAGTTATGAAAATGATATAGCAAACAAAGCCAAGACCGAACCAAAGCTACTCCACAGTCACATCAGAAGTGAAACCTAGAACAAGCGAGGACAGGTATAGAGAGAATGACAAAGAGGTGTGTGAAGAACTCAACAGGAGGTTCCAGGAGGTCTTCATAACAGAACAAGGTGAGGTCACTGTGCTAGGAGAAAGGGAAGTAATCCAGGCGGCCTTGGAAGGGTTCGAAATTACGAGAGAGGAGGTCAAGAGACACCTGCTGGATCTGGATGTTAGAAAGGCTGTTGGTCCTGACGGAATCTCGCCATGGGTACTGAAAGAGTGTGCAGAGGCACTTTGCTTGCCACTCTTCATAGTGTATAGTAAGTCACTGGAGATGGGAGACCTACCAGAAATATGGAAGACGGCGAATGTGGTCCCAATATACAAAAAGGGCGACAGGCAAGAGGCACTGAACTACAGGCCAGTGTCCTTGACTTGTATACCATGCAAGGTGATGGAGAAGATCGTCAGAAAAAACCTGGTATCACATCTGGAGAGAAGGGACTTCGTGACAAATCGCCAACATGGGTTCAGGGAGGGTAAATCTTGCCTGACTGGCTTAATAGAATTCTACGACCAGGTGACAATGAATAAGCAAGAAAGAGAGGGCTGGGCGCACTGCATTTTCATGGATTGTCGGAAAGCCTTTGATACAGTACCGCATAAGAGGCTAGTACATAAGCTGGAGAGACAGGCAGGTGTAGCCGGTAAGGTGCTTCAGTGGATAAGGGAGTACCTAAACAATAGGAAGCAGAGAGTTACGGTGAGAAGTGAGACCTCCGATTGGCGTGAAGTCACCAGTGGAGTCTTACAGGGTTCTGTACTCAGTCCTACCTTGTTTCTGATATATGTAAATGATCTCCCGGAAGGTAGAGATTCATTTCTCTCAATGTTTTAGGACGAGGCCAAAATTATGGGTAGGATAAAGACAGAAGAGGACTGTTTGAGGCTTCAAGAAGACCTAGACAAGCTGAAGGAATGGTCGAACAAATGGTTGTTAGAGTTTAACCCAACCAAATGTAATGTAATGAAGATAGGTGTAGGGAGCAGGAGGCCAGATATGAGGTATCATCTGGGAGAAGAAATTCTTCAGGAGTCAGAGAAAGAAAAAGACTTGGGGGTTGATATCACGCCAGACCTGTTTCCTGCAGCCCATATCAAGACGATAACATCAGTGGCATATGCCAGGCTGGCCAACATACGAGCGGCATTCAGAAACTTGCGTAAAGAATCATTCAGAACTTTGTATACCACATATGTCAGGCCAATCCTGGAGTATGCAGCCCCAGCATGGAGTCCATATGTAGTCAAGGATAAGACTAAACTGGAAAAGGCTCAAAGCTTTGCCACCAGACTAGTACACGAGCTGAGAGGTATGAGCTACGAGGAGAGACTAAGGGAGTTAAGCCTCACTTCGCTGGAAGACAGAAGAGTTAGGGGAACATGATCACCACATTCAAGATTCTGAAGGGAATTGATAGGGTTGATAAAGACAGGCTATTTAACACAAGGGGCACACGCACAAGGGGACACAGGTGGAAACTGAGTGCCCAAATGAGCCACAGAGATATTAGAAAGAACTTTTTTCGTGTCAGAGTGGTTGACAAATGGAATGCATTTGGAAGTGATGTAGTGGAGGCTGACTCCATACACAGTTTCAAGCGTAGATATGATAGAGCCCAATAGGCTCAGGAATCTGTACTGTGTGAACCGACCTGTGAGATTTATATTTATTTAATTTATATGAATTTATATTTACGTTAATTTGTATACTTCAATAGCAATTTGTATGATGTTAAGTGGCCTGTATTTCTGCAATAAACTCATAATCTCACAAATCGATCCTTTACACATTAGGGGGGTTTATATTAAATTTATATACATGCAGCCAATCAAACTACAGTATTAACTACACATTGAAGAGGTTCCTTATCTTATTGTACAGCAGACCTTTGTCCACCAGGTATAACCAGGATGTAGACACCAAATTATCCTCTTTGAGGTAGCTTCCATCACCCGGTAACTGGTGCACAAAGTCTTGCTTCCTCGTCTTGACCTGTCAAAAGGGCGCTAGCTGTAAAGCCAGAATCCTAATATATGACAGCTATATCAGAGAAAACACTGTACAAGGAACCATAAAGACCTGGCTTAATTACCTTTAGTATGAGGCGATCTCGTGATCTAACCGGCCCACCCTATCTAATGACATTAATGGCCATAAATGATAGATAAATGGGTTTCGGCAGAACACTTAACTTGTATTTGTTGACAGCGTGTTGATGATGGTACACCTTTGGTTTCCATAACACTTCGTCCAAGTAAAATTAACAGGAGCTGTATTTGCTCCCGTGAGCCTCTGTGGTCTTAGTACAATAACAATGGCTGACCACTCCCTCCTCACTGACCCTACTGGCCTACATTGTCCAGATGACAGTAAGTGATAGAAGGATCACATTTACTCTATTTTAATTCTGATAATTAAGTTAATTTATATGAGATGTTTTTATGATGGTAAAGTCCAAAGACTAATGTATTTAAGAATAATTCCCACCATAATAGGTGGTGAATTTATAATAGTATGTGGTAATGATATCCCGTTTTCTATAGACGGGAATTCCACTACAAATTACATTTTCTATGGGTAACTTGTTTATACAACACAGCAATATTATCTGTCTGTATGATATTATTAAATGGTGTCGGATTTTCAGACATGTACACCTGTTGATTGACGGTTGAGAGGCGGGACCAAAGAGCCAGAGCTCAACCCCCGCAAACACAACTAGATGAGTACAACTAGGTGAGTACATGTGCATTTGTAAGTAATCTGTTCTCATCTGGTGTGCAATTTCACCTTCGTTAATGAACCTTTGTTATTTTAAATTATGAAGAACAGCCTTGTTCATAACATGATAACACATACCTTGACGAGTTGGATAAGTTGAGGACAGAGTAGATGGAAACAGGTAGGCAGTTGTCAGGTCAGCAGGTGATGGATCAGCAGGTGATGGGTCAGCAGGTGATGGATCAGCAGGTGATGAGTCATCAGATGATGGATCAGCAAGCGATGAGTCAGCAGGTGATGGATCAGCAGGTGATGAGTCATCAGATGCTGAATCTATTAGTATTTGGTCAACTCGTGCTGGAGTAGTTGATGCTGTATCAGCAGGTACCATGTCAGCAGGCAGAGTGTCAGCAGATAACGTTTCAACTGGCAGGATATCAGCAAGCACCGTGCCAACAGGCAGAGTGTTAGTAGGAATCATGTCAACTAACTCCATACCAACAGTCACCATGCCATCAGGTACTGTGCCATCAGGCACCATATTAACAAGCCCGGTGTCAGCAGGGGCCTGGAGAGGCAGGGTGTCAGCAGGGGCCGGGAGAGGCAGGGAGTCAGCAGGTGCCGGGAAAGGCAGGGTGTCAGCAGGGGCCTGGAGAGGCAGGGTGTCAGCTGGGGCCGGGAGAGGCAGGGTGTCAGCAGGGGCCGGGAGAGCCAGGGTGTGAACCACAGACACCGTAGCAGCCATCACAATAAACAGCCGCAACACACCAGAAGTCGTCACCAAACTCTGCCTCTTCCTCGCCCTGTTAATCCTGACTTTCTTGTTGTGTTGTTTCCTGTGACCATTGTGGTGGTGTTGACTCATCTTTCGGTCTGGCCACAACTGCTGCTGCTGTAGAGTACTTATGAATGTGCAGCTTCTTCCTGTGATGCTGCTGCTGTTCTCAGGCACTGCTCTGTCGCCTGGTCTTCCTACAGCTGCTGTACTCATCAGATACTGCTGTTGCTCTTAACAATGTTTTCACTGTAAAAGAAAGAGATAAAATATTACAATTAAAATACAATTTGTATATCAATTCAAAATGCATAACGTATTACAATACAATAAGTTATGCATTTTATTAAAGTCTTTATTTCTGGGATAATTTGAACCTTTCTTTGAATCAAGTTCCTCTTTGTACCATGACCATCCATAAATAGTACAGTTTTGCATCATGATCATCCAAACCTGCCTGACGAGTACATTGTTGCATCATGCAGCAACGATGTACTCGTTGTACTATATATATATATATATATATATATATATATATATATATATATATATATATATATATATATATATATATATATATATATATATATATATATATATTGAGATCAATTTTTTTTATTGGAGTTAAAATTAACGTAGATATATGACCAAACCTAACTAACACTACCTAACCTAACCTAATCTATCTTTATAGGTTAGGTTAGGTGAGGTAGCAGAAAAAGTTAGGTTAGGTTAGGTTAGGTAGGTTAGGTAGTCGAAAAACAATTAATTCATGAAAACTTGGCTTATTAGGCAAATCTGGCCTTGCATAGTAGGCTGAGAAGTGCGTTCTGGCTACTAAGTACGACATATATATATATATATATATATATATATATATATATATATATATATATATATATATATATATATATATATATATATATATATATATATATATATATATATATATATATATATATATATATATATATATATATATATATATATATATATATATATATATATATATATATATATATATATATATATATATATATATATATATATATATATATATATATATATATATATATATATATATATATATATATATATATATATATATATATATATATATATATATATATATATATATATATATATATATATATATATATTGGTGTATACTGGCAGCAAGTTTTCTTTTAAACATGTCTCATTGAATATGACCGCATATTATGTATTTATTATCTTCTGATTTAGGGCTTCTATCCCTCTAACTATTTTCTTAGCATCAGGGCTTAGCTGAAAGAGGAGTTCTCCAAACTCATTTTCGTAATTTCAAGGTGAAGAAAACAAGTGAATTACTATAGAATGTATTACACTTATTTATACAATTTGTACAACGTTTCCAACCTCCATGGTTCATTCTCAAGTGAAAAAATTTACAGAACTGGTTGATTTATACCCACACTGGGTCAGGTGATAAGACAATAAAGGTAAAAACAGTGGGAATACATAAGGGATAAATGGGGGATGAAGTACATAAGAAAATAAGAATAGAGATAACTGCGGAAGGCCTATTGACCCATACGAGGCAGCTCCTATCTACATACAAAGATTAATATGGTGTAATTGGCCTGTTATGTTGAACAGTGTCTTCTGTGTTGTCATCGTTATGTTCTGGTCTTGTCATTACTCTCATGGTGGGTAGCGAATATAGTTCCGTGATTTGGGTATTCATGGTAGGTTGTTCTATTCTTATGTGAATTGCTTCAAGAATTTGTAATCTTCTTGCATCTAGGGTTTTGTCTATTATACAGGTATTTTTGTTCAACATTTCTCTTGTTAGGGTGCAAATTATATAAATAAGTGCGAAAAGTTGAGCAAATTGCATAAATAAGTGTAATACATTCTATAGTAATTCACTTTTTTCTTCACCTTGAAATTACGAAAATGAGTTTTGGAGAACTCCTCTTTCAGCTAAGCCTTGATGCTAGAAAATAGTTAGAGGGATAGATGCCCTAAATAAGAAGATATCAAATACAGAATATGCGGTCATATTCAATGAGACATATATATATATATATATATATATATATATATATATATATATATATATATATATATATATATATATATATATTATTAAATATGACCGAAAAAGTAAGATTAATAATTCTAACACGAATTTTCTCAATCTTTCGTACATTTCTTTTCACTGTTGGAGATAAATCAAAAATCAATTCTCCAAAATTCATTTTTATTTCTAGTCTGACGCGACACGAGCGCGTTTCATAAAACTTATTACATTTTCAAAGACTTTAGTTTACAAATACACAACTGAATAGAACTTACGCATCTCCGATTTTATATCTACATTTAAGTGAGGTGGATGGGAGGAGGTGGCATTAATTGTTAATGCCACCTTGGCATTAACATACAATGCCTATTAATTCTACCTCTTGTTCTGTCTTGTGTTGATGAAATTAATACCCTATTAATGCCACCTCACCCCATCCACCTCACTCATATGTAGATATAAAATCGGAGATGCGTAAGTTCTATTCAGTTGTGTATTTGTAAACTAAAGTCTTTGAAAATGTAATAAGTTTTACGAAACGCGCTCGTGTCGCGTCAGACTAAAAATAAAAATGAATTTTGGAGAATTGATTTTTTATTTTCCTCCAACAGTGAAAAGAAATGTACGAAAGATTGAGAAAATTGGTGTTAGAATTATTAATCTTACTTTTTCGGTCATATTTAATAATATATGTCTACATGAAAGACTGCTACCAAAATATACTAATATATATATATATATATATATATATATATATATATATATATATATACATATATATATTGTGACGATAATCTCCTTCAAGAGATTGAGCCTGCTCTTCCCTCCACAATTACGACGTTGAAATTATATAAAACTACTAGGGAAGAAATGTCCAACAATGACAACAACATCTCCAAGGTTTGCCAGAGCGCAAAACGTTGCAGCCAGAGACACCTGTTCAGACTCAAACCGCCAAACTACCTGTTGATCGCTACCAGCTCCGCTGATTGGTCGCCGGCCGGGCTGCAACTGCACTCCACCCCCCCATACTACTTGATGTCTGGGGTCGCCACGACCTCAGACCTCAGAATATTTAGTGCTTTCGCAGGTACCACTCCTCCCGGCTAGACGTTAGCGTGTACTGAGAGAGGTGGTAGCTTAAAGCCAATATTCCAGCACCTCCCTTTAATTTTGTGTTGCACTTCTTGTTATTTTATCTTAACGTAACTTTTCATTGTGTCATTTAATTATTCTTATTATTTTGATTGATTGATTTTATTATAAGAATTTGTTTGTCCATTTTTTTCATGTTTTGATTTATTTAACGTAATTAAAATTTCATTGTTAAAATTTACTTGTGTTTTTGTGTCTTCTCCTTACCTTACCACAGACGAAGTTCCAGTTTTTCTATTTTTTTTTATAACTATGTGACGAGGCCATACCCCTTGCCTTAAACAGCCGAACACCAACGCGTTACCGTCACAAGTTATATGGGGGCCTGTCCTAGGAGCTTCACTCAGGTACTGGTGCCAAGTGGTAATTTATGGTAAGCGTATTTAACTTTGTTAACGTAGCTTTACTATTTTTCATATTCAATTTCATTTTTTTATGAGGTGCGGTGTATTGTGCATTACGATAGTAACATATGGTGAAGGTGAGACAACTTTGGATTACGTGGTGACTGTAGGCCTCAGTCATACTCTTAATTGGTCATTTCTCCCTCCGTGCTATTACTCGTGTTTACCATCTATGTCCCTTGAATATTTCTCATTTTGACAGATCATCATATTGGTACCCTGGTACTGTGGTCTGCCCCGGGTCAAGAGTACCCAATCTTCTGCAATCTGACTGTAGGAGGACAAAGAGGGCCATAGTTCCTCTAGCTCGAACTTTAGTTGCTGAATTGGGACCTCAGCAGCAGTTCTCGTCACCAGTTGACACCTCGCACCCCTACACGTCAGTCAGAGATGATGATACATACAACGGTAGGGAATTAGCTTACTTTTCAGAGCACAAAAGTTCGCTAATTCTGTAAGTATCATATTAAATTCAGTAGGAAAAACTTGCTTTATGTCCTATAGAGACTTGGCAAGGTATGCCTACATCCTTGGACTACCAATTTTACTTTTGAAGCATTTAACTGTTTCATTTGTTTTCGAAACTCTGTTTCATTTGTTAGTAGGATTTTCTTGCCCTTATCCTCTTACATGAGTACCGGGTACAAGATTTCCTGCGCCCTTGATTTAATTTAATCATTTAATATCTTTTACTTAACTTTAATTGTTAAAGATCTCACAGGATAGGTACCAGTTGCCACGTTGTCCTGTTTCTGACATTCACTATTGAATATTCGTGTACCTTTATTTGCTAATTTCACCATGTTTCGTCTCCAAGCTTTCCGTGCAAATCCAGCAGGTGAAATAGGGACTTTAAGTCGTGCCAAGAGGACTGAATTACAAACTCTTGCACATGAGTATCAACTAGAAGTTCCCTACCAAGCCAACAAGAATGACCTATACAACCTGTTGCTGGATTACTATTTAGAGCAAGGTAAGATAGACTCTGAAATTCATGAAACTTACTATATTGCAGATAAAACTGACTTGGCAACGATGAAACTCAAACTAGAGCTGGCCAAGATTGAACGTGAACAACAAGAACGAGCAGCTGCCATACGAAGAGACGAACAAGAACGCGAGGCTGCTTTGAGAAGAGAAGAACAAGAACGAGAAATCACCCTCAGAGAACGCGAAGCTGCCTTGAGAAGAGAAGAACACGAACGTGAGGTCGCATTACTCCGTGAACGTGAACGAGTACAGCTTGAAACCAAACAACGCGAGTTGGAAATACAACGCGAACATGACAAGCAACAAGCGACTCTGGCTCTAGAGTGTCGTCAACGTGAAATCGCCTTGGAAACTTC